ATTTGTTGGTAAGATACTTGTACTTTTACTCAAGTATCACTTTGTGGTACTTTATACAACACTGCTTTAGGGCCACCACAATAAATAGGCCGTCCTTAAGGTTGCTGGGAGAGAAAAATCAGCACAATTATCTCGCTGAGGCATCACTCACCGTTTCCACTCATGAAGTCGGTGAAGAAGGAGTCCCAGGGCTTCGACGGCAGGACCGGGTTACTGTTACAGAAATGAAAATACGAAACCAAAGTGTCTTTTGGGTTCCTGAAGACCACCAGTATCTATGCAAGAAAGACATACAGAAACAGTTTCACACACAAACAGCATGAAAAGTATTTTGCAAATAAATCCCACAGCAACATGATAAACAAGAAAATAATTTTCGCTGTTAAACTCAAAATGTTTGAGGACTAAACAAAACTGACAAAAAGGAGGTGGCTGAGTGGTTCGGGTCATCCTCCCATGAGAGAGTTGGGAGTTCAAATCCACCACTATTCAGTCACATGCCAAAGTCCCATCAGTGAATGGGTGGGATTTAAAACACTGATTAGTCTCTATAGATTGATTTATCTTTATTAGCTTTGTAGAGAGAAAGTAGAGTGCTGTGTGTGTTTGGATGGGTAAATAATAGAAAGGAGCCATGTGAGTACAGTCAATTTACAAGTGAACAAACAATAAAGTAAACACGATTAAGAAATAATTCAGTACTACATATGTATTGTCATCAAAGCATGTTCACATACAATAAAAAGATTTGTGCTCTACAGTTGACTCCTCACACGTGAGACACACTCAACTATGAGCAGCTATACAAGCAGCTGAAACGTACTTTAGGGTTCTTTTCTTTGAAGGTTTTGGGAATGTTGTCGGGACAAAGGTGAGTCCCCAGAAGCCTCGGAGAGGGGGACCCTTCCACCACCTGAGAAGACAAAAGAAAATTCTATTATCTGGAAAAAAAACAAAAACAACTTTTAATTTCAGATTTACCACTTTTTCACATCCTTCTGCCAACTTTCAAACAATACTCAGCCGAGAAACTGCTGTTAGTTCAGCCAGAGTGGCAGCTTTAAATGTTTGTTACCTGCTCCCATTCTACCAAAACCAGTTTTTATGTCATGGAATGGGATCTGTTGACCAGTATGAGTGACTGACTGTTGCTGACGGGGAAAAAACAGATTTTAAAGAAACATTTTTGTCCATTGAACAAATTACAACAATTAAAATAAATATTTTAGAATACGTAAAAGCACACTGACATTTAAAATACATAATAACATTTTTGGGTTATAGTAAGCTGGTTGTAGCAGTTGCTGTTCCATCTTAATTTTCTTTCGCGATAAATGATTAAACATTGTAGACATTGATGATAACTCATGGATAACATTTGCAACTCGTGTACATTTCAGCCTTTCACCTCCTTGTTATCAGCCTCACCCAGTCTGAACAAAAGACAGGAAACTGGTTTTTAATCATCTCACCAACTAACACTGCCGCTGTTGTTAAGCTATGTGGCATTAGGTAAATTATATATATATACACATGTGTGTGTGTGTGTGTGTGTGTGTGTGTGTGTGTGTGTGTGTGTGTGTGTGTGTGTGTGTGTGTGTGTGTGTGTGTGTGTGTGTGTG